TTGAAAGGGAACACATATCAGAATAGCTACTCCCTTGGGGTTGAAGAGGTTGAATAATGTTGTCATTAATTTTCTTTTAAAATGTCCTGACTGGTTGAATCATTTTAAAAATTAAAATGCTGCATGCTGAAATAACAGTTTTCTTCTTATTCATTTGTAACTCTCACTGATTGGTTTACAAACGCTGACTTTTCTTGTAGTTATATCCGACGAGGTGAGAGTCACTGGTGGATGAAGGGCTCAACTCCTACCCAGATCTCAGAGATCATCATTAAACTCGTTAAGGATATGGCGGCAGTAAGTTCCCATCCTCCTGATCATTATGTCAGTGAAGTACAGTAGGAACCTGATTAACAAAACGAGTAGCATAATCATTCTGCTGAATTGAGAGAACATTCATGTTATTTTGCTTTGCTTACAAGGTCCATTTAGTAGGTTCACTATCTCACGATCTGTCTTTCCAGCTGGTGATAAATTTGCCCTTTGTGTAAACTATGTTCATTTCAAGCTTCCCAATTAATTTACTTGAGAATTATCACATAAGTCTTCTTAGATTTTAAAACTTAAAAAAAAAAAGTATACTCTTTGAACCCTAAAAAAACAGCCTGAGCCCAAGAGCCTAAAGGAAAAAAAGGGCTTTTCAGAGCAAAGGTTTCTCGCTGTCTTTTAGTTCTCACAGTTTATGAATGTCCTGTACTGCTGTCTTTAGGTGTTGCTTTTGCAGGGAGATCCCGGAGTGCAGAGGAAAGGAAATTACTTCTCAGAGTGCCTGGCTCTCACTGGTTGCTCCATGTTAGTTTCCTCACATTCCATTGTATTTCCAGGAGTTCAGCCCGAGGAGGGCAGGACACTGTGGATGATAGGTTCCTGAGAGGTAGAGTAGACGGCAAGCATTTTGGAAGAGGAGGAATTGGAATGTGAACTGTCCCTTTAAAGATTGATAGCGTGTGGATATGAGACGAGTAAGGATATTCTGGGGAAATATGAAGTTCTGTCACTTTTCCCAACAGTTTGGACATTTCCTCAATCAGAGAAATGGAGAATTTTTTCCATTCTCAAATAGGCTTTCTGAGTAAATAGGCTTTTCATTGGATGAAAATATTTATGAAAGATGTTTAGGAACACTGAAACTCTCTAGAAGTAACATGTTGGTGTTCAGTAAAAATCACATTAGCAAATTAAGGTAGTTGTAATTTAAACCCATTTATGCTCTCAGGTTCCAGTAATACTCTTCTAAAGCATTTAGCTTAGCTGTATGAGCTCCGTGTCATATAACAGGGTTTCATGATCAGAATTTCTCAGTCATAGACAACCTAGTATTTGTTATGTTTTTATCTACATGTAAGATGAAATATCCTTGAACTGTAAGAGAGGAGTATTGAGAACTTAAATTTTTATTTACTTTTCTTTTGAATCATCAAAATAGTAAGTAGAAGTTGAATTGTTCATATAGTTGTGAAGGATTTTTATATTAAAGTATGCCCCTTGATCTAAAATTCCACGAGCAAATAAATTTTCCTTTTTGGTGAGAGATGTTCAGAGAACAGAATCTGCTCCTTTGATTATACCTCTCTGGTTGTTTATTAAATTATTCTGTCCTGCTCATTAGGGTCATTTGTCAGAAGCATGGTCCCGAGTGACCAAAAATGCCATTGCAGAAACCATCATTGCCTTGACCAAGATGGAGGAAGAATTTAGATCTCCAGTGAGATGTATTGCAACAACTAGGGTAGGTTTCCTTTCATTTGGTCTATATTGTTGCATGTTCTTTTTCAGTAATAGATTTGAACAAATTTAAATCAATAAGCCAGCTTAATTTACTTTTCTAAAAAATTTATTTTATTGAAGTATAGTTGATTTATAATGTTGTGTTAATTCCTATTGTACAGCAAAGTGATTCAGTTATCTATCTATCTATATATATATATATATATATATATACACATTCTTTTTCATATTCTTTTCCATTATATTTCATCCCAGGACATTGAATGTAGTTCCCTGTGCTATACAGTAGGACCTTGTTGTTTGTCAGTTCTCTGTATAATAGTTTGTATCTGCTAATCTCAAACTACCAATCCATCCCTCCCCTACCCACCTCACTCTTTTTTCTTACCAAATATTGTATTTATTGAAAAAGTATGAAGGGCTTTTTTGAATTATAAGCTAAGCCTGGTAATTTTTAATGTTCACTGTTATGTGTTCTTTATCACTTGTTTTTGTTATTATTTAGGGAGCTAAGGATATACTCATTAAAAAAAGCTAAATTACCTATATGTAAGTGTACTGTCTTTCTGATGATGTGTTTATTGTTAATTTTAGTGTCAGCATGACGTTGTGATAGACTGAAGGTCCTTTAAAGGCAAGGCCCCTGCCTACTCCTTCTGTAATAACTCAGTTGTCCTAAAATAGAGTCCTGTAGCCTACTTACTGAATGTGTAGGCCTTACTTTTCAAAAGCAGAAAGTGTGTGCCCAGGGCACAATGGGGCAGAATCTCTTAGGAAGTGAGATTGCATCCTTCAGATGAGATGCAATCTATTGTAAATTTTAATCTACCAAATTTTATGTCCCATATACTTCCAAAAGAGATTTGAGATTTCCTTGAAGCAGGGCAGTTGTGACAGCGTTAGGAAGAAGTCAAAGCTGGTAGAAATTGCTTAAGTTAATCCTCAGAAATCTGAAAAAGAAGATACATTTTATCTCCCTTGGGCAGAAAAAGCCAGTTTATGCCATGTTGCCAGTGACTGTGCCTCTGAAGCACAGCTCTGACAGTCACCCTTTCCCACCACGTATACGCTGCACTCGTTCTTCAGTCGGCTCTCCCCTTTCTCCTTGCATAACTTTTTCTTCTGGCTTCTCTTTTCCTATTTTATTTCCCCCTTACTCTTCATGTCCAGTGATGCTCACATGCACTTCTCAGAGTTGAGACAGTTAAGTATTATTTTCTGTTTTTCAGTAATGAAGAAATATGTTATTCTATGTAAAAATGAAGCTTGCTCTTTAAGCCTCAGAAAGTTTTAAAGTATTTTTGAGGGCAATTTTCTAACGCTTGTAAGATGTTTACTTATTTCTGACAAAGTGTACCCAGCATAGAGCTAGACTGTTAGAGGCATAGAGATTTCCTTGGAATGTAATGCCTCAGGCAGATATTAGTTGGAAAATGTGTAGAAGGCATTGGTATATTAAATATGTAAATTTATGTATTGATATGTTGTTTACATATCAGAATAATAAAGGTTAATTTTATGTGTCAGGTAGACAACAGAATGGTTCATCAGAGCAACAGTCATTTACTCAGTATGTGTTTGAGTGCCTACTCTGTGCATGGCACACACAGTAGAGGGCGTGGGTACCTGGTACCACACCAGGAAGACTTGAGTGCCACTGGGGATCTACGTCTTTTCAAGTCCAGCTAGCCTTCACTGAGCTGTGGCGGTGGGTGCTCTGTAAGGCGTAACCCCACGTTCTGTAGTGTAACAGCCTTTCCCTTCGGCAGCTCTGGCTTGCTCTGGCGTCGCTGTGTGTTCTCGACCAGGACCACGTGGATCGCCTCTCCTCAGGGAGGTGGATGGGAAAGGATGGACAACAAAAACAAATGGTAAGATCAGAGTTATTTTATAAAAATTTAGCTTGTTTTTCTTTACAGTAAGCTTTGGTTTAGCTTTAAAAAAAAAGGACTCTAGGGGCTTCCCTGGTGGCACAATTGTTGAGAGTCCGCCTGCCGATGCAGGGGACGCGGGTTCGTGCCCCGGTCCGGGAAGATCCCACATGCCGCGGAGCGGCTGGGCCCCTGGGCCATGGCCACTGAGCCTGCGCGTCCTGTGCTCCGCAACTGGAGAGGCTGCAACAGTGAGAGGCCCGCGTACCGCAAAAAAAAAAAAAAAAAAAGACTTCACGTGGCAAAATACACAGTTAGCGGAACTCTTGAAAAATTGTGTCACACTGCCCAAGTTCATCTCACAAGTCTATTTCACTTAGGGTTCCCTCTTCATAGTATATTAGGGGATTTAATTACATTAAAAAACTGTTCCCTTCTTCTCTGAGTCATGTTTGCATCATATCAAAGTTTGGTTTTAGCCAGACTCTGATTCTATATCTAGATTTTGTACTAAAATGTAATCGGTTTTATGATAAGAAGGAAATAAAGTAGTAAGAGAACAACATGATATACCATTTATTCACAGATGTACTTAAAGTGGGTTTGATAAGTATCCCTCGCTTCACTGGAAGGAAAAACTTTATACAGGCCCTTGCAGCATTTTCTTTTTAACATCCAAGTTTCAAAAATGCATTATTTATTAATTTAGCATACAGAATGTTTGAATATAATGGGAGAAATTTTCTTAAGTCGCTAAGAAGAGTATACATGTTTATTTTGTTAATCATTGAATGCCCATAGCGCATTTAATCATTGATTTGGGGATTTTGAGGCTTTTTTTTAATATGTATAAATTTTATTTATTTATTTATTTATTTTTGGCTGCATTGGGTCTTCGTTGCGGTGCGCAGGCTTCTCACTGCGGTGGCTTCTCTTGTTGCGGAGCACGGGCTCTAGGTGTGCGGGCTTCAGTAGTTGTGTGGCACACGGGCTTAGTTGCTCTGCGGCATGCGGGATCTCCCCAGACCAGGGCTCGAACCCCTGTCCACTGCATTGGCAGGCGGGCTCTTAACCACTGCGCCACCACCAGGGAAGCCCGAGGGCTTTTATAGTTAAGTACACTTGCCATAATTCTTGTTTAATGTTCAGATTTTAAATTCTTATTTGAGTTCAGAGTAACAGTCTGTTCCTGTTGTAAATAAATCACATTCAATTTGTATGAGTATTTAAGACTTTCTTGTTAATCTTTTGTAACGTATGGAAATGTCCTGTTCTAGCCTATGTGTGATAACCATGATGACGGTGAAACTGCAGCAATCATTTTGTGCAACGTATGTGGAAACTTATGTACTGACTGTGACAGATTCCTTCATCTTCATCGGCGAACCAAAACTCATCAAAGACAGGTGAAAATTTCTGCATTTACATGCAGAATAGTATCTGTAACATAAAATATATTCAGTAAGAAATAAATGTGGGAAGGAGACTTGGCGTAATGGGAGAAAAATGAACCTTGGAATCAAAGACCCTGGTGGAGTTCCCAGCTGTCTCATTTACCAGCTGTGTAAATCAAGCATGTTGTTTAACCTCTGAGACTTGGTTTCCACATTTATAAAAATGGGGCTGTTGTGAAGATTAAAGAGAAGACTAGAAATACCTGGAATTTCTTAGACTGCTTAATAAATAAAAGCCGTTTTCATTATTGAATAATTAAAATTTATACTTCTTTCAGAGTGATACATTTTCCCCTTTTCTTTAATGATACAATAGGTCTTCAAAGAAGAAGAAGAAGCTATAAAGGTTGACCTTCATGAAGGTTGTGGTAGAACCAAATTGTTTTGGTTGATGGCACTAGCAGATTCTAAAACCATGAAGGCAATGGTGGAATTCCGAGAACACACAGGTAAAAGGATTTAAGAGTGAACCGTGCCTGACAAATAGATTGAACCATCCCTACTGATTACGATTAAACTAGATGTTTAATTTAATTATTTAATGTGAATAATTTTGAGTGTTTTCTATTAAGTGATGATGAGATCATTGATCACTGTATTTTTATATTTACTAGACAGTGTTCAGTGTTCTATTGTAGAACATTAGATTAAAAGTCGGGAAAGTTGGTTTGCCATGAACTAGCTGTGTGACCTTGGGCAAGTCGTTTTATCTCCAAAATATGCATTTTTCATTTTGATTTTTTTTCTAAAGTCTGGTGTATTCCCAGCTTAAAGGTACATTGAATCTTACAGATTCTCAATTTTCAGCACCTCTGTAGTCTGCCGTTTATCTGACACAAATTTCTGATTTTGGTGTTAGATGTAAATCTGACAAATTTAAATATGAATAACTTTTCATGCTGCAAGAGCATGGTCTTTTCTTTTCTCACAGCTGATTTTTTTTTCTCCTATTTTCCCTCCATACCATATTACATTAATGAATGTTCTAGTGTTTGAACCATCATTGTATTTATGACCTAAACTATCCTTTTTAAAAAAGCATTTTCTGTAAATATTGCTAAGTTCACTTATCATATTTAGAATTTTGTACCTGTGTTTTAAAATGAGCTTGGTCTGTGTTTTTCAAATCTTGTTCTTTTTCCTTTTGTTCTTTGTTTTATTGATTCCATTCCTCCTTTAACTATTTCAAACATATTTAAATTCCTTTTGAAATGTTTCTATTATCTTTAGTTCCCTGGGTGGGAATTCTTCTGTTATTCACGTTTCATATTCTCTGCTGATAGGTTTTCTCCTATACCTTGTAATGTTGCCATTGGGAAAGGTACCTAATGATTTCCCTTTCTTCTATGTATCTTTATTTAATTTTTGTTGTTATATTTTGTCTGGCATTGTGCTTTTGTGATGAGGGGGCTTACCATAGCTGCTCGACCTGCTGTCTTAACTAGAGGCCTAGTCGGTTTCTGTGTACTGAAGAAGTATAAATAAATCAGTTAATAATTTATTTGGCTTCAGGTAGCTCTTTAGTCTCTTATCCTTTTTTGTGTGTGATTATCTACTTTATAATTAGGGCAGCTTACAACCCTTCAGCTGCAAAACTGCCGGGCTGATTTCTCAGTGATAGCAACTGATACATATCCCTGCTTGCTTGATTTGTTTTCTTCAGTTAGTTATATTAAAATATGTAGAAAACATACACTTAAGGAGGACTTTCCTTTTCTGCTTGAACCTAGGTAAACCCACCACAAGTAGCTCGGAAGCATGCCGTTTCTGTGGTTCCAGGAGTGGAACAGAGTTGTCTGCTGTTGGCAGTGTTTGTTCTGATGCAGATTGCCAGGTGCGTGTATAGTTAGTTAGGCCATCATGTAAGGAGTAGCATGTGTTCCCTCATGACACCTTCACTTCATATAAATAGGACTCTGAGCTCAGCATCACTTTTGTTTTCTAAATTAGTGTATTACCCATGTCAAGAGTTAAATGCTTTATCAAAGCTGGAAAATGGATCAGTTAAAGCTCTCAAACCCAAATCAGTCTCTTGTGTGTATTTCCCAACTACCACCATCATATATATTTAACATTTACTTCTGTGCTAGAAGCAGATAAAAATCTGTGGGCTGCCTTTCTTTGCTTGTTACACATTTTATTCACTTGTTTCCTTAAAGTTGTTTATGCATGAACATCTGTACACATTCCATGCTATCCAAATATTTTTGATTCCTCAATTTAGTTAACAAGAATTTGGATAGTGTCCAGATAGTGAAGGATACCTGTATTTTTTTTAATCCCCAGTTTGGTGAGAGGTAGGTGGTGATTGGATGATTATATGTCAGGAATTTTTTTTGCTTCATGGCTATGCATGATAACAAATAGATTAAAATCGCAGCTCACTTTTTTTAATCAGCATTCCCTTTAATGTGGAGTGAAATTTTTTTAAATCACATTAGACTTTGTTAATAATCCTAAGTTATATGCAAACAAAGAATAAAAATAACTACTTTGTGGTTACTTAGCCTTATATCTATTTCCCGGGGGAAAGTACCTTGGAAAATTAATATAATGGATGTAATTACCAGGATGTGTGCCTTTTTTGATACTTTCTGTGCCGTTGTAATTCATCTTTAACAGGAATATGCTAAGATAGCCTGTAGCAAGACGCATCCTTGTGGCCATCCATGCGGAGGTGTTAAAAACGAAGAGCGCTGTCTGCCCTGTCTACACGGCTGTGATAAAAATGCCGTAACCCTGAAGCAGGACGCTGACGACATGTGCATGATCTGTTTCACAGAAGCGCTCTCCGCGGCACCGGCCATTCAGGTTGTCTCCGCTTTTAACGTGTTAAGTGTGCCTAGATTTTTCAATAGGAAATATAAATATACATGTCAAATAAACAAACGACTGAATCTTTCTTATACCATTGGGAGAAAATATCCCACTAATATCCCCCAGTTTATTACAGAGCAAATGCTGTCTCTTTATATTCTGTCTCCATTTTGTGCAGTGAGCTTTAATCTGTGATTTGTGTAAGCCTATATAATAATTGAAAGTATAAAATGTTCATAAGGGAGAAAAGAAATAGATTATCCAGTAGCTTCTCTCTTCTTAATTTCCAGAATCCAGCATGGCCTTTTGTAGCATTATGTAATTGATCTATGCATGATACATACCTCTATATATAATATATATACATATATCTATTATGTTAGTAATATTATAGAAGTTACAATTTGCTAAATAAGTTTTTTTTAACATTTACTGGTTGTTTGTTTATATTTCCAGTTCTTGTGATTCCAAGACAATAAATATTCTCAAAAATAAATTTTAAATCTTTAAATCAGTAGTTTCCTTTTCTTCCTGTGAGACACAAAATTGAATAATTTCACATTTCTCCCTAGCCCAGCTTACTCTCTATAAGGTGGCGTTAATACATGAATGGTAAAAATTGGGAGAAGCTGAAGATCTCGTTCATAATGTCACATGAATAATAGAGAAGTGCCGAAGTTTCAGTGTACTGAATTTCTAGATTTTTCTCTTACCTGCCCTAAGTAGCACCTTACATTGACTAATCTGCCAGTTACTCGTGTTTGTTGTTATTACATTCGCTTATATCCTTCTCTTTTCTTTATTTAAGCTGGATTGTAGTCACATATTCCACTTACAGTGCTGTCGACGAGTTTTGGAAAACAGATGGCTTGGTCCAAGGATAACATTTGGATTTATATCTTGTCCCATTTGCAAGGTATGGAAAGAATCGGAAATTATCTGCTTTCTATTAATTTTCATCTTTGTCTTCATCTTTCATCTTTCAAAATAAACATGGCAGCATCTCTCAGTGTCCTTCTTAGTCTACTTTTTACCACCAGCCCCCATCAGTTTCTGCTCTCTTCACCCAGGTAGTACCTGAGAATAAGATCTTTCTATTATACTACATTTCAAGACATTAATTGTCCATTAAAAGCTGATTAAATTAAACTGTTGCATCAGAAAATTCATTTAGATATCATCATGCATTGAAGGGCACGCATCACTGCTTTGAGACCCGCTGAGAGTTCAGTCCATGTGACTTGTCAGTGGGTGACTACCAAAAAGAAGAATGAGCCTGTGGTGCTTGTAGGTACTGATACCTGCCGTGAAAGAGTGAAACCTGAACTTTTTAAAGTGCCATTAGGACAGATTCTTTAGAGCTCCGGTAAAATGAGAAAATTCTTGACATTTTGACACGTCCCTGCAAAGATAGGAACCAAAGCAGCAGGTTATTTTGGCAAGCTAATGATGTTTAACAAAAAACTTTTGTTTAAGAATGTACTGCCAGACTGGTGTTTAGGGTATAACATGGACTTAGCACAGTCATTGCTTAGACTGAGCAATATTCAAAAAGATGATAGGATTTTCTCTCCCTTCTCATTTGTTGCCACAAAGAAAAGTCACATTCAGGAAATGATAGATGAGAGTGATACAGAAAATACTACTTGTTCATTTCTATTATCTAACATTCTGCCCCACCCCCAAGGAACCAAAAACACACACAGAGGGATATTTGTGGCAGCAGGGTAACCCTTTATTCCCAGAACAGCTAAGGCAGCAGGAGATATATTTCATACTCAGGAATATGAAGCTAATCAAATGGAATTTTCGTGTTCTGTGCCCCACTTGCCGCCACTTTCCCTGCTCTTGGGAAACTATAGGCTTGTGAGGACTTTACAGGATTATTTTTAAATGGCATTTTATTTAGGAAATGTTTGGTTATCTCCTGTCCTAGCACGGTGCTTGGCACTTAGGTGAATACTAAGTGTTTGTTGAATTAATAAATAAATGATTCTGTTAAAGAATGTTCATTTTTCAAAATTGCAGAACAAAATAAATCATATTGTGTTAAAAGACCTGCTTGATCCTATAAAAGAGCTCTATGAGGATGTCAGAAGAAAAGCCCTAATGAGATTGGAATATGAAGGTCTGCATAAGAGCGAAGCTATCACAACCCCTGGTGTGAGATTTTATAATGACCCCGCTGGCTATGCCATGAATAGATATGCATATTATGTCTGCTACAAATGCAGAAAGGTATGCTGTTAATCATATTACGAATTATTAAGATTACCTGTGTGATTAAGAAGTTGAATAGTATAGTGATGTCTAATTATTCTTACGTTTTAAGTCTAAAGTTAAAAATGAGAAAGTTCGGTGCTGTGCTTCAAGTAGAATTTATTTCCTTAATTTGTTTTGGGGCGCTTTTTTTTTTTAACATATACAGACTATTTCCAAAACAAACATGAGGTGTTTCACTACACAAGCTGTTTCCCATCAGCAATCCCCTCTTGTTTTCCAAATCCAGTTGGCTCTGGAATAAACTTCTTTTGCTTAACTCTTTTGACCATTCCCTTCTTAAAATTCTTACCTCCTTGGCTCCCAGGACAAGACTCTCTTTGGTATCTTCCTTCCTTTCTGGTCACTTGTCTTTACCCCCCTCACAGAGTTCCTTTTTATTCATCTACTCCTTACATATTTGTTTCCCCAGCCCTCCATTCTTGCCTGATCATACCTCCTCACCTTTGGTGACCTGTATACCCATGCCTTTGCCTACCACCTGTATTGTTCCGACCCTCCAAAATTTTTGAGATTTGGATACAAATACCCAACTGTCTACCAGACATTTAGATTTCTCACAGATACTTCTGACTCTCTCAATCTCCAGTCTGTATTAACAAATGAACAAAGTCAATTCTACCTCCAGATCTCTCTTGAGTTATTTTTTCTTTCTAGTATTATATCTTTAGCAACCCTAATCATTTTCTTTGGTAATTATTAGTAGCCTTCTTACTGGGCTTCTTGTGTGGAGCCCCTAACCTCTCCAGTTCCATGCTTTACACTTACAATTCCACTAGCAGATGAACATTTCTAGATCCCAGATCTGATCGTGTCACTGTTCAGCTTCTAATCCTGTGGCCCCTCCTCCTCTCTAGTCTCATCTCCCAGCATGCCACCACTTGTGCCCCGTGCAACGGAACACGGAACAACTTGCAGTGCCCCAAACTGGGCCGTGTTGGCTCACTCACCCACACCTCCACGCCGTCGCCCGGGCTCTTCTGTCCATGGAATGCTCTTCTCTGCCTCCTACGCTGCATCTTACTCTCACTTGCCACCCACGCACACGCACACACTCATAGGCACGGCCAGGTCTGTGCAATCACACTTCCGGATTCGGCTCCGGTTTCGCCTCCTCTGCAGCGTGCCCCGACCTCCCCACCACCGCCACGCCATTTTGACATCTCGCATACGTCCGTCTAAGCGCTCATTATTCTGCATTAACGGTGACTGGTTCACGTGTCTCTGTCCCCCTTGATAAGTTCCATGAGGACGAAGACTATGTTTCTTAAGTTCTCTATCTCTAGTACTTGGCACTTATTAGACACTAAGTTAATTGGAGAATGAATAAATGAAGGAATCAATATATGAAAGATGCATAGTCTCCCGAAGCAACAGAAAGAAAATACAGATAATGAATGGAAGGCTAAGTAGATAGATGGTAGCCAGAAAGGCAGACAAATACACACACCCAAGGAAAGACCAATGGTGTACATTTGTGAAACTTGAATTGTTACAAATAATAAAATACTATTTCTTCTGTGTGTTTAATGTACTGAACCTCATAAATGAATACTGCGCTACCACACAGATGACAGTCAGATGTCCAGGAAGCCACGCAGGGAATCTAGAAAAGTAAAACAGCTGGAATAGGCCCCCAGGACAAATGAAATACTTCTAAGGCCTGATTTAGCTGGTGGATGACCATTTATAGCCTCTTTATCAATGAAGCCTGTCTTCATCTTGTTTTTCCAGTACAAATAATAGATTTCTATTGACTCATCTTATTTATACCCAATTATGGATATAGTTTTTTTGTCTATGAGACATGTTATATATGCAGAATGCCCCAGTTATGATTGGTCTAATTTATTTTGTGCCCAGAGCAAATAGAGAGGAATTACCCATGATGATAACTTCATATATTCAAGTATCTGTATTAGATACTGTTGAGTTCCTCCATGTAGTGAAGCTCTGTAAGTATGAGCAATGTCCTGAACAGAATATCCAAATTTGCCTTTCCTTTTTAAACATTTTTATATGATCAAAATTGATTTTTTTCTTTCCCATTAGCCTCAGGATTATAATTTTATACTAATATTTATTTTAGGCATTTATTTAGAATAGTAGAGGGGAATATGTTATTTCATATTTCAAAAAGAGAAAAACTATTCAAACTTGGCCCTGGAAAATCATAGCTTCTCTTTACTACTTAATATCCTATTCTTGATATTTATTTGGAATATTATACATTCTTTTGTTATTTTGCTTTGACAGTACAATGTCTGAACTTTCTACTGTAAGTATGAATGCATTCCAGAACTGAAGTAGCTTTATTTCATACCCTGATCTATTTCTTACAGGCAGCAATATGGGTATCCACTTGGCATTACAAGGGAATGTCAATAGACAATAGTATTTCCTGAGACCTCTCGATCTCACTTCCATTGCACCCACACTGAACCTCCCATGGCAGAGTTTTCTGTTTCCTGCTGTGATCTGAATGCATTCCCTCCTTAGGCATATTTCGGTGGTGAAGCTCGTTGCGATGCTGAGGCTGGACAGGGAGATGATTATGATCCCAGAGAGCTCATTTGCGGTGCCTGTTCTGATGTGTCCAGGGCTCAGGTGGGCAGAACATTTTATTAGAAAGGACAGTTTAGAAATGTTAAGCTTCTATGTTTTTAAAATAATAATATAACGAATATGATGGGGATAGTATAGTACATTTTTTTTCCCCAGTGCTTTCTGATGTTTGTAGGGCAGTGTATAATTTTCCAGATCATTTTGTATATATTATTTCTTTTGGATGGTATTTGCATTTTATAATTTTGTCTCCCATAAGATAATCACCATATTTCAACAAGTAATAAATTTACTTACTTCATTTTCTTAAACCTGCAGTCACACTTTTAGGTTTTTCCGTCTTCAGTGAAATCTTAATAATACATCTATGAGATTGAGAGATAGAAGAAATATTATTAATTTTTCAATTTGGCTGACCAAGAAACAGTCACAAGGAAATTAAATGGCTAGCTTATTAAATAATATTGGTTATTATGGAGCTGGGATTTAATTTTGGGGCTTCGTCCAAACCTTTTGGGCCAAGCCACACATTTATTCAATATTTTAATGTGTGTATCATCAGTTTTTCAGTCAGTTTTGAGAGCTGTGTGTACTCTCAAAATATGAATCACTGAGTTAAGTGTATGGTTTTCTTAGGTATCGTTGAAATAGACTTGCCATAATCTTGTATTTATTTTCTTTTGCTGTAGATGTGTCCGAAACATGGCACAGACTTTTTGGAATATAAATGTCGCTACTGCTGTTCAGTGGCAGTCTTTTTCTGTTTTGGAACAACACATTTTTGTAATGCTTGTCATGATGATTTTCAGAGAATGACCAGCATTCCTAAGGAAGAACTACCACACTGTCCTGCAGGTATGCTTTTAATATTCATAAATATGGCTATAATGTATATGGTATCTCGTTTTGTTTAATGATCACATGAGAACACTTTGTTTCAAGTGGCAGAGACCCAGTTCAAACTATACTAAAGAAACAAAGGGAATTCCTCGGCCCTTGTAAGCGTCTGACTTTCTGAGTGGAGTAAAAAGTAAGATGACCATCATGAACGAGGGACTCAAAGCTGTAAGAAGCAATTGTGTGGGGACTGAGAAGGAAGTCAGCTAAGGATTAGTAGAAGGATAGCTGCTCAGCACTAAAGGGCCCTGAGAAGTTTGAAATTATAAATTGATAATAGAACCATTTAAAAGGATTTCGTGATTTTTTTTTTTTTTTGGTCACACATCTGCCTTTATTGTGAGCAGCTATGATATTTTTTAAGAAGCCTGGAACCAGCACCATAAAATGGACAAGTGATTTGATCTAGAATGGCTGGGAATGGGCAGCATAGTGAGCATCAGAAAGCCAAGGGAATTAAAGAAGCCACTGAGAATACAGGAGAGATGATTGTCTATGGAGGTCAGGCTGAGAAAAAGTGAATATGAAACCAAAAAGAGACAAAATTGGAAGAGGTCAGGAGGCTGGTGATCACAGTGGGGTGGCATACCAGGCTTAACAGAAGTGAGAAGAGTGGAAGGAGAGGTAAATGTGACCACAGAAGAGACAGATCTGAAACGAGTGGAAATACATGCAAGAGCACATACACCACAGTGTACAACGTTGTTAAAGCTGGGAAACACACAGTCTCATCCATTGCTTACCAGAGTGCAAATGGCAGAACCCTGTGGTGCCTCTCAAAATTGCCAATATACCTACCCTTCAACAATCCCACTTCCGGGGATATACCCACATATGTGAGAAAAATAAAAAAGAGCAGATATGAAGGTTATCCATTGCATAATTGTTTATAATAATACAAGTTTGTAAACAATGCAAGTATCCAGTAAGAGGTTGGTTAAACACTCAGTACTACACACTATTAAAAAGGAAGGTGACTGAGGATGGAGTTTCTGTGTACTAATATGGAAAGATCTATAGCAGACACTGTTAAATGAAAAATCAAGCTACTGAACAGTGTGTGTAGTATGCCACCTTTTGTAAGAAAGGGGGAAATGAGAATATATACTCATATGCATTTAAAAAAACCACTGGGGAGATTGACAAGAAACTAATAAAACTGATTAACTATTGGGGAAAACAGGGAAAAATGGGATAAAAATGGGGGGAAGGTGACTTCTTTTTGTATGTAATTTTTTTTAACATTTTGATTTTTAAACCGTGTAAAGTATATTATCTATTCAAAAACAAGGATACTAAGATACATAGGGTTTTTTTTAAGTACGGCTACTCTTTTCTATTTGCTCATCTCAAGTAAAATTTGTTATACTATTCTTCCTCCACTTCCTTTACAGTAGAAGTACTTTAGGACTTTTCAAGAAGCTTTAAAGAAGCAAGATGAGAATAACGTGAGGCTAGAGTGTTTAGGAAAATGGCCAGAATAGAGGCGTGAGCCAGGACGAGCAGGAGGAGGGTGGTGAGCTGGAGGCCAGCGAAGGAAGGGAGCGAAAAGGGGGCGGTGTTGTATGGATGAGGACAAGAGTCCAGATTAAGAAGTTGAAGGAGATAATCCTTCTGGCCTGGGATAGGGACCCTATCCCTTCCTGCTGCATGTATGTGGTACGTTGAATTTTTTATAGTGAATGTTTTTGTTTTTGTGGTTAGAAGAAAATAATTTTTTAATTTTATATTTGCATAACTACAGTCACATTATTTCTCTAAGTAACTTACAGGTGATTAATATTTACATTAGGTTTGTATGTGTTGTGTGTTTTAATTATATTTTTTTGCCTCCTTCAAAATTTATACAGGTCCCAAAGGCAAACAATTAGAAGGAACTGAATGTCCTCTCCATGTTGTGCATCCACCCACTGGAGAAGAGTTTGCCCTGGGTTGTGGAGTGTGCAGAAATGCTCACACTTTTTAGAACACTCAGATTCCTTTGTCTACAGAGAGAAAAGATACCTTCATCCCCCCAGGCAGATGTGGTGAAGTTTAAACTCTGCTCAGGATAAAGATGGGACCATTTTTACATCCATGAAAATGAACCATTCACAGTGCAAGAAGGATGCCAAATACCATGTACATAATTCTTGCTATGGAAAGTTTCCCTATTATTTCAGTTTATCTTCTTTTGAACCAAGACATGAAACTTGTGAGGTGTTTGCATGTGGCCATTATCGTCATTGGCCTGTGAAGCATTGGACATTTATAGATAATTGATATCAAAGAATTGCCATGCCCATGGACTAAGAATGATGCTGGCTTTCAAGCAAAAGAGAAAAATTATCATTGTTTATTGTATACTGCCTTTTTGTAATCCTGTACAATTGCATCACGGGTGGGGATAAAAAGAGGAATATTCTGGTTTATTTCCTAGACTGTTATTTAAAAAAAAAAAAAATGTGTTAGGACGGCATATAAATGTAATAAGTATCACACTGTATATAAAGATATCAATGTTTGTCCTGTATAAGAATTACTAAATTACAAATGCAGTTTCATTTAAACTTCTAGGTTAAGTTTGAGCCTGAAATTTTAATGAAGTGCAATACTGAGTGTGCCTCATTATCTTGCAGCTGTAAACATATTGGAATGTACATGTCAATAAACCACTGTACATTTTTATACAGTGATAAAGTCTAACAAGTGTGTAAGGTGTTGGCTTGAGAAACAAAATTTAAATACCTAAGGTCTAAAACTCCGTCCAGTTTTCCTTGGAAAGAAATTTACTAACATAGCACAATCATAACCTTCAAAACTGTTTGTTAGGGAAAATAAGAGTAGTAATGAAGTACAATGTTGGAATCTTAACACTGGAGAGATGGATAGATAGATATTCATAAACAGACATATGCGAAAGATAGAAGAAAATATTTAGGAAATTCAACAACCTCCACCTTATTAACCAGCACTTTTTTCAACATGTATAACAATCAACAGAATCACTAGTCTTTTCTTTATCTATTATAGACTGTGTGTTTTAGTGGATGTTTTTTACAGTTAACTCATGAAATTGACGCACTGTTGACTTATGATGAGTCATAAATCAGATTATATTTATTTCATGAGGCAGACTGATCAAAAGTTCTGATCAGTTTTGTTCTAAATTCCCACTGTTGAAAATAGATCATTTGTCAATAACTATTATTATTTTTTTTTCGGTACGCGGGCCTCTCACTGTTGTGGCCTCTCCCGTTGCGGAGCACAGGCTCCGGATGCGCAGGCTCAGCGGCCATGGCTCACGGGCCCAGCCGCTCCACGGCATGTGGGATCTTCCCAGACCGGGGCACGAACCCGTGTCCCCTGCATCGGCAGGTGGACTCTCAACCACTGCACCACCAGGGAAGCCCCAATAACCATTATTTTAATGACTTTGTTAAGCATTTGTGAGAAATTTAAAATAATCTTTGCCTTGAAGGAACTTAAAATATAAAGAAAAGATCTAGCCTGAGCACAGATAACTATTTAGAGAATCTTCTAATAAATTGCATAAAAATGTCCACACCAAATGCTTCAGGGTTTAGGAAAGATGGTTATTAGTGGTTTTTTGTTTTTGTTATTGTTGTTGGGAGGGGGGGTGGTTAGCTAAGAGGCCCCTGAAGCTTTCCCTTGAAAAATAAGTAGCATTTCAAGCGTGGAGATGTAGAGAAAGGCAGGAGGAAAAAGGTATGTGTGTAGAAAATTCTGGAATGTGATAGAACAGTGTGAATAGTCCAACTTTCCTTGTGTTGGAGAGCTTACTGCAAAGACACAAAAAAATCTGAAGATCACAAAGACTGATCTCTTCATGATATAATTTGTGGATCCACTGTATGTACAGGCGCAGGGCCTTCCTGAGCAAGAAAGGACTTTGAAACAGTACAGAGATCCCTCTCCATCTAAATAAGACACATCTAAACCATCACTGAAAAAGTGATGACACTTTTGATGTGATGACATCACATCAAAAAGTGATGACACTGAAAATGATAACACTTTCTTTTAAAATCTCTCAAGAGAAGGACATTATGCAAACTTCCTTCCTTATTATGACAATGCCCCAGAATTACAAGCAATTTTTAACTGCCCAATGGGTTCAAAAGCGAGGAGAGTGATTTCTTGTTACTGAGGGCACTCTGGGTGGTCCCAAGTCAAGCTGAAAGGGTTGCAGGCAGGGCTAGTTCAATTTCAATCTCCAGAATACTTTGGATTTATGATTCAGGAAGAAACAGAAAAGGGTCCTAAAGGCACTCGCTTGTTTATATCCCCCCCCCCCACCCCCCGAACACACACACATTTTCTGACAAAGGGCTAGCTGGGATTCTCTACCCACGTTCAAAAGAGGTTCCAGAACCTTCAGGGCAACACAGTTGTTTTCTTCAAAACGATCATTCTACCATGAGGATGTTGGGCAACAGGCATCAGGAAGGGATGGTGACACTGCTCC